GTGGCCTCACCAAAATCTTTAAGGCCAGTGAAAGTTCCTTAGCCCCCCACAGGGCTGTTACTCAGCATTGTAAAGCTCCTGTGTGTGTCTGTGGAGGGAATAAAACACTTCATGCAAAGATACACAACACTGAGCGTGTGGGAGAAAACTGAGGCTGTTTTTCAGGCCACACAGAGCTTTGAGTGTTGCCATTTATTGAGGCTCTGAGGGGTGGCACAGACCAAAACTTGCATCCAGAGAAGCAGCAGGAGCTTTGCTGCTGCTCCCATGGGGCCATCCCCTCACCCCGAGGTCTGTCCTGAGAGGGATCAACCTCCCTGGGTTCCCTTTGAAGTCCAGGCTTTTCCCTCTGTCTGCCCCTGCTTCTCTGAGTCACAGGAACAAAAATGAAAGTTGCTTCCATTCTCTCTTTAGCCAGCTCTCTTTCATTTACATAGATTCTGTTGTGAGCTGTAGTAGAATTGTTTCGTGAAAAAAAACAGGTAAGAAATACATGCATAAGACAATTTTCTACACACTTCTATGCATTATATATTTGAAGGCTTGGATTTTTTTTTTTTTAAGTTTCTTATTTAAGCAATAGCTGCATATAGACAAAGATCAAATCTCAGTGATTTTACCTGGAATTGCTTCAGGTTTTACTAAACAGCCAATTTCAACACATACAGGGAAAGACAGGAATAGCAAGAAAAAGAATCTATGCAACTTGGGGAAATTTCAGCATTTCCATTCACATCATGATCTGATTTATCTGACTGACTGGGGGATCCACCTGTTGTTCTGAGATGTTTTCCAGCAGTAATGACTATAATGAGCTTCTTGTAAGCTTCTTTTAATTCCCAACATATTTCTTTCCTGTTTCTGCAAATATAAATTTTGATTTCTAACTCTTATTTTTTCAGCAGTGAATGCTACACCCCAGGCATCACAATAATACAAACAAATACTCATAATGACCATCTTGGAGGTCAAAAAAAAGCTGTGTTTTCTGTACATGCATATGAATCATGGCTGAAATTCTGGGAATTACCCAGAGCAAAACCACACCAAAACCCCCACAGTGTGCCCCAGCAAAGTACAGGAGCCACAGAGTACAGCAGGTCAAGTCACTCTTCCCAGAATTTACAACTATCCCAGCAGTGAATTTAGAACTTGCTTCTGTTTCCAGCCTCAGAACCTGCAGTCACCTCACATGCCACAAAAATAGTAGCCTACCAAGTTACCTGTGTAAGGAGGTAAAAAAAAAAGTCAAAAATCAGACTTTTCTCCTCCTGATAATTGTACAGTGAGGTACAGCATTTTTATCACATTGTTCCTCGAGAGTGTCCCTGTTCACACCACCCAGTTACAACTGAAAGCAAAACCATAGGTGAGGGTACATGAGCAAACCTCTCTACACAATAGCTTCCCATCAAAGGTAAAGCTAGGCATCATTATTCCTGCAGTGAAATATAGCCACTCCTAGGGAAAGGAAAAAAGAAAGCCTCAGAAAGGCACACATTTCATATCACAGAGCATTGTGAAAGAAAGATTGGGCCCGGAAATTATTCTTTTTGCCAAGGGCACTTCCATGGTTTAGGTATTTATGTATTTTTTATCTTACACCCCTGAAGATGGAAAGATTAAGATTGGTCCAGGGCCGAGCACCAGACTGTTTAACAAACACCAGATTAAATTGTTTATGCTCCTCTCTCTTAACTGATAAATTTGTAGCTTATATGTAGGTTAGCAGGCATAACTTTTTGGAAAGGTATCAATATTGTATTGTTATACATACACATTATAATTTTTAACTAGATTTTGAATTTGAACAGATTCATGGTGAAATCAATAATAATTTGAATATTTTGTTCTACCATTTTTTCTCCAATATTGGCATATGAATTATACAGTTGAATTTAATAGACAACCTCTGAGGAGACCATTAACTCAAACATTCTTGCAGCAATTAGCTTTTATCTGCTATGGATCAATTTCAGCATTTTCTATTTGAAGAGGTAGGAAGTGCCAAACTAAAGACAAATAGCAGCCAAGAAAAAGCTTTTTAAGAAAAGCAGATGCCAGGCAAAAAAAGCTTTCTTTTTTAAACTATCCCCACCCCAGAACGCTTCTCGATGATCGCCCATCACCTTTCTCTCCTCCAGGCTGCTCCGCCAGAGACAGCCCTCAGCTGCCCGGTTTGTGCCGATGCTTGCACAGGGGTTTGTCTGTTCCAGGCCTGGGACAATGGGGAAGCATTCATTCCCACTTAAAAAGTGTTACCCAATCCCTTTTAAAGCCCCCAAGCACGGCCAGTCAAGTTGATGGGTGGGGTAGTTTTTGCCACTTCAAGTCCCCAGCTGTTGAAAACTACTTAAATAAGCAGCGCTTTCCCTAATCCTGGTTGTTCTGGTAGTGTTGATTGCTGTCCCTGATGACCTTGGAGGGACCACCCGAAGTCTCAAAGGTCTAATTAGTAGGTGAGTGTCCCTTCCTGAACATCAGGTCCTGGATTTTTACTGATCATCTCCCAGCAGTGATTTATGAGGGGCCCCTCCTGTTTCCTTTGTTTATAGGCAGAAGAGTAAATCTGGAGAGATCAGAGAGCCCTGAAGCATGTCCTGCATGTTCTACCTCACTACTTTGATTCCTGAATTAGAGGAAACACCGTAGTGTATACACTTACATGATTTTGCTGCATCAGATTTATCATGGGTATCTAAATGTTAAATTATTAAGATGACACGTATTCAGATTCACCTGTGCTCCTGAATACGAAATTACCCATATCCAGAGCAGCACCAGGCTTACACCTGCTGTGGGCAGGAAGTATTTCACTGTATTTCCTCATGACCTGCAGACCTGGTACAGAATTCTTTTCCACTTTAATTACAGTTTCACTGTCATCACTGTCAAGAAAGGAAATGGTTTCAAGTTCCTTTATCTAGAATTAACTCCCGGTTGTCAGATAAATACATTTTCCAAACTCAAGTCTCTTAGGCTGAGCCCCAAAAGAGTCAGTGAAACACAACACGTGCTACAATGGTTGTGGGATGTTTTGCCAGGAGAGATGCTATTTCAGAGCCATTACTTATTGCACAAAAACATGAATAGGCTCTCTCAAGAAACAGCACTTCTCATCCTCTTCATGGCAAGAGGACAGAATAGTCCCTGATGGATAATCACCTTCCCTCTCATTTTACACACTCACTCTTCACCAGCAAGGGCAGCAGCAATGCAAACCACCAGGCTTGCTTTAAAAAAATCCCAGTTACCAGCTGCTCTCCAGCTCAGTGCAATAGCACCAGGAGGGATGGGAAAGGTCCACCACAAAAACCTTCTATTAGGACAGGAAGAAGTAGTGAGTTGCCAGCCTTTGTCCTTCCTGAAGGAACCTTCAGTGTTCCTGGATCTCAAATAGTAACTGAGAAGCATCCACGGTACCGCAGAGCTGCAGACCATCAATCAAAACGTTATTTTTCAGTGCTTGGGCTTTTTAATTATTTGTGTTATTATTTCTCACACTTGCCTTCATCCTGGCACGTTCCTTCCCGTCTCTGTCCCCGGGGGCTGACGGCCATGCTGCTGGCAGCCACTAGAGGATGCCCCCAGGGACCTGAGTGGTGGCAGCAGCAGGTCTGGTTGACAGGCAGGAGAGAATCCTCCCAGTCCCTCTTCTGGGGCTGCTCCTTTCTCCCCTGCAGCATTAGCACCCATGCCCTCACACGCCTGCAGGGATATTTGCCATTGCTGGGGGTAGCCTGAGGTTAATTGTGCATTGTGATGACAGGGGCGAGGCAGTGCAGGAGTTCCCCAGCAGCTCCAAACCCTTGTGGGGCACGTGGGAGATGATGTTTCAAAGCCAGCAGAACTCCTGGAGCAGTGGAGCGGGTGGAAGCCGGGCACCGCCGAGTGCCGCAAGGAGGAGGCAGCAGCCGCAGGAGGGCTCGGACCCTCCTCTCTGCCCGCCCCAGCCTGACAGCACAGCCGGCTCCAGGTCCTTCTGCAGAGCCGGAGGAGCCCCGGGATGCCTGCCTTGCCCTCAGATACAACATCCCCAGGGTCCCTGTCCAGCTGCGGAGTTGAATTCCTCCCTGATGTAAGCTGGCGGGTGGGTCTCCTTGGGCAGCCCTGCTCCCCTCTCCGGCCCGGTGATTATCCAGTAAGCTGCTCATGCCAGCTCACTTTTTATGAAAGCACCTCTAGATTTCAGCCCAGGGTTTATTTATTGAGTTTCTCTGCACTTTTCCTTTCTCCTGCTCTCCTGCCAAGACCCAGTGGTGGTACAAGCCCTAGAAGTAAATAGAAAATGCCAAGCTTAGTTTTTTAGGTCACCGTAAACTACGCGCTTATCTGCTTTCAGAATACATAAGCCACAGGATGTCACCTCAAGTCAGCACAGAAGGATAAGGACTCAAACGTAGGTCTGGCTGTAGATATGAATATATTGGGATCACAGTGGGGAAGTGTATGTTTGTATACAACAGCCTTTTTAAATCCAGAGCCTTCTTCCTTTTTCCTCAAAGGTTCCATATTCTTCTGGCAACAAAGATCTTTTTATATCTCTGGGGTTTCATATTCCACCCAGCAGCCTATCATAGGAGAGCACAAATCTACTAAATAGTAAAATGAGGGATTACTTCCACTCATCTGTTGACAGACATTTCTCCAAATTGGATCAAATGATTAAAGGTATTAGAATGACGTCTTGCAGATCCAGATCAAATCATTTGAAACCTTGAGAGTGTTTCTCCTTTGCTTGGAAGAAACCACCAGAAATAGTTGTAGGTGCTAATTGCCCATTATTCTCACTAATGTGAAATTCTTAATTGGGACCTTTGAATATTTTACTTACTTGAATCCTAACCGGGGGTCTTCAAGATGGAAGGACTGTGCAGCGGCTTGCTTCCCGACGCGCCCTTCGGGATCTCTTCCAACGCCTGAATGGTTCTTCCTCGAGTTGCTTACGCTGAGAAGAGGGGTCCAGGCTGTGAAGTCTTCCAACATCTCCCACTACAAAGATGGCACTGCTGAAAGTCAAATTCAACCAGAAGAAACGGGTAAAACTAGCACAGGGACTATGGCTCATGAACTGGTTTTCGGTGTTTGCTGGAATCCTTGTTTTTAGCATGGGATTGTTCCTCAAAATTGAGCTCCGGAAGCGAAGCGAGGTGATGGACAATTCTGAAAGCCACTTTGTGCCCAATTCTTTGATATTGATGGGTATATTATCCTGCGCCTTCAATGGTTTTGCTGGAAAAATTTGTTATGATTCTCTGGATCCTGCTAAATTTGCCAAGTGGAAGCCTTTGCTGAAACCTTACCTGGCACTGTGCTGCGTCTTTAACATGCTCCTTTTCTTCGTGGCTCTGATTTGCTTTCTCATGCGGGGCTCCCTGGAGAGCACCCTGGCCCAGGGGCTGAAGAACGGCATGAAGTTCTACCGGGACACAGACACCCCCGGAAGGTGCTTCATGAAGAAGACCATCGACATGCTCCAGATTGAGTTCAAGTGCTGTGGCAACAACGGCTACAAAGATTGGTTCGAAATCCAGTGGATCAGCAACAGATATCTGGACTTCAGCTCCAAAGAAGTGAAAGAGTAAGTGACTCGGAGGGGTTTGTATCACGTAGTATCGATGTTTGCTCAGTGCTGGCCTCAAGTGCCAACAGGCGCTGGCTGGAAGGGGGTCCGTGTAAAATGGGGTCTTGTTTAATAAATCGTCCCAAATGACCAGCTGGATTGCTTCCTCCCCTGACAAATTCCTCCAAAGTCATCCATAACATAAAATAAAATAAAAAGCACCAAACTACAGTTCCCACTCTTGATCAGTGTGATATAGACAGGTTAAATAGTTTTTACTGTCTTCTACTGCTTTATAAACCCATTACCTTGAGCCACACTCCCAAAATCAACAGGAAAGTATCAGAACTTTACTAATCTTTAAGCAGATGTCAATGTGATTGATTAATTTCCTAAAAAAAGAATTCCCTGGAGATATACTGTTGATACCACTTTTAAAACTCCACTCAGATATTGGCAGCTAATCATGGAAGGAAATAAATAGAGGCAAAAACACTTTGCCAATATGTCTTTTAGATCCTTAAGATTTAGAATTTTATTTTTATATTCACTCAGTGGACTGCTTCAGTGCTGTGATAATACTGAGCATCAATTGATGTTCTTAGCTTTACACAGTGGCCCTTGTAGCCATATGTATTTTAAGTTCTGTCCTGTGCCTGATTTTTTAAAACCTCACATGAAAGCAGCATTAGTTTATTGTTTCTGTACGAACCAGATCAGGTTGTTGACCAGAAACACCTTAATGGCTTTGATGTCAGTGCCCAAAGAGGCAGTAATCCTAAAATCAGGTTAGGTGCAGTAAGCTCAAGCAGAAAATAAGCATGAGAACGAAATGAACTTTTGAAATTAAAAAAGTAGCATTAGGCATAAATACCCACAACCTTTTAAAAAATTAAGCACCAGGGAAAGAAATTGTTATTCTGGGTTCTTTGGGAACATCATTCATTAACATTTATGCTCTGTGGTTGCATAATGGGTCCTGTAAACTGGAAGCAATCTGCCTTTTAAATATACTGCCTGTATTAAAAATGTCTGAAGTAATTTTGAAGAAAAGCTTTGTGTATCTCTTGGGATCTCCTGGGATCCCTGCCTGACTGTGTAAATGGTATTTATCTTGTGTGTGTCTCTCTGTGTGTTCCTTTGACTTGTTGGGTGGTCTGGTTGTTTTTGCAGTTCTGAATGAGGACTTTTTTAGTGAAAACTGTTACAGATTTAACCCGTTGCACTGCAGGCTGTTATAACAAATACATTCACAATTGAATAAGGGGATGTTCCCATTGCAAAGGTATGCCCATGGGTATAAATAACTTCTTGAAAAAACCTTGCCAGCATTATATGGAGATTTGAGAGCTGTAGCTTAATCCAGCAGCAGTGGAAGGGCAAGGCACAGGAGGAAAACAGGGTTATACTGTCCTTAATAACTCATGTCTTGTTTGGGACTGAGACTCAAGGTAATTTCTTTGTACTACTGAGGCAGGAACTAGGGCATTAAAAATCTACAAATGGGTTTTAGTGAGTTCAAGGTTTGTACTATGTGGTGGTGCACAATCTCTGCTCCCATTCCTGGTGGGATAGTCTGGCCCCTTTGAAGCCAATAGTAAAGTTCTCCTTAGTTCCAAGGAAGGTGGGAGTCTGTCCCTCACAGTGGGATTTTTATATTATTTGTAGAGCAAAGGCCTGATCTAATATCCAATCTCTCTGAAACTGGTGGAGCATTTACACATGAATGGGAATTAGACCCAATCCAGAGCACACTTTACATTTAGAGAGAAAACCTCAGCTGCATTTGCTCTTTAGATATATTTAGGTCATGATTGCAAAGTGGAATTTCCCTTCACCAGGTTGTTGGAATCACCTCTCTCTCTATGACACAATTCTAAAATATCCATATAGAAAGCTAGAAGGGACACTCAGATTTTTTTTGACCTCTCTACACCACTGGGACTCTCCATTCTGTGATTTTCTAAGCAAAATGGCCTGTTTTAAAACTGCACTCCTTTTATTGTAGTCTTTCTGCAGAGTCAGTGGAACTATTTGGCTTCCAAGTTATCTTGCATCTAAACATCTCCTAAGACACCAGGATAAATGACTGTTAACAGAGAGCAACCACAGTGTCAGATGAACAATAGTTGGGGGAGCTCCTGCATGGACTTTGGAAATTTTAAAATTTTGCAACATCCTGTGGCTGAAGCACATTTCATGTTTTCAATACTGGCTACCTTCCCAAGCCAAGAATAAATGCACAACCCCTCCCTGGAGATATTATAGTCAAAAAGAAGCTATTAGGTTTGCTGGATCAATAGGTATAGTGGGTTCTGAGGTTGTTCTGGGTTCTTTTCCAAGCTCAGGTCAGCTCCAGCACCTCTCTTCCATCCTAACCATGCCGTGATCACTCTTTTCTGACTGCCCTTCCTGAGTTCTCTCACCATTCACTTTTGTTAAAAATTAATTTCTTTGAAGAAGTGACCCAAGGGCGTGCATTTCCACCAGGAGAGGTCAATTACAGACTCAGCGTAGCCTTGACATAGAAGAGGAGAGAAAGGACAGAAAGAGAGAGAGAGAGGACACCCTGGACAAACACCGCTATGTGAACGAGGGGACACGGAGAAAAGGCATGGTGGCAATTCTTCCTTGCCTTTGCTTTCTGTCCTCGTGCAGATTTGCTCCTGGAAATCTGTCTGTGTGTGTGTCTGTGTGTATGTCTGTGTCTGTGTGTCTGTGTGTATGTCTGTGTCTGTGTGTCTGTGTGTATGTCTGAGTCTGTGTGTGCATTCACGCTCCCTTCTGCCCTTGCCCGTAGCCGGATCAAAAGCAATGTGGACGGGAGGTACCTGGTGGATGGAGTCCCCTTCAGCTGCTGCAACCCCAGCTCCCCCAGGCCCTGCATCCAGTACCAGGTCACCAACAACTCTGCCCACTACAGCTACGACTACCAAACCGAGGAGCTCAACCTGTGGCGCCGCGGCTGCCGGGAAGCGCTGCTCAACTACTACAGCAGCATGATGAGCTCCATGGGCGCCGTCATCCTCCTCGTCTGGCTCTTCGAGGTAACCTTTCTCCTCAGACACACTGCAGTCAAGTGCCAGCTCTGCAGGAGCAGGGGCTTTTCTGAGTGAAAATCAAATCTGGCTAAAATAAATTTCCCCATTGTTTGGCTGAGAAAATATCTGATAACTGAGTAAGGGCTGAAAGGTCCCAGGCTGGAAACAGAGGTGGAGTGGGTGTGGGATCAGACCCCTCTTAGCAGGGGCCAGAGCCTCGAGTATCCCACAGCAAAAGGGGAAAAAGGGAGTGATCTTCTGTCCAAGGCAAGGTGCTGAGCAGGGAAGAGAGTGCAAGAGCTCTGCTGTCCAGATGCATTAATTTTACATGTGTCACCTTTTGTGGGTAACGAGAAATACAAAAAAGCGGCACATCAGAAAGGTGTGACAGTAATTAGTGGGACAGAAAATGCAGCTAAAGGGTTTACACCCTGAACAAAATAAGGCTTTAAACCATACACAGTGGAATGATTTTAAGGCAGCATGTGGACCTTCATCAGCTCCACCAAAGTATTTGATCAGAAAAAGTGGTTTAGGTGGAGCAAGTGGATTAAATTAATTTTATTCTGCTTCCCAAAACACGATGCAAATGCAAACAGGTGCCAGCACTGCCCAGGGCAGGTGTCTGTGGGCACCATAACCAAAAGTGCAGCTTGGCTGATAAAATACTGTTCATCCAATGCAATGAATCCCCTGCCTCTGGGAGATGGCCAGTTTTCTAGCCAGGGTGTTTAATCAACACTAATGCTCAGGGAGCGTGGGCTGGCAGTGGCACGAGGGCTGGAACGTGAGGTGCTGGATGTGGAGATCAGGCAGGACCTGCTGGTAAAAGGAAGGGTGCAGCTCCCTGGGGTGCTGCAGATCTTTTCCTATCCTTGGAATGGCTGCTGCAAATGGCATTGCCTATTTTAAATGATTCAGCTGCCTTTTTAAAAATTTAGATACAGGCAAATTAAAAAAAGATGAGTTACATTTTGATACAAGCACTGGCCTACAGCCTTCCAGGAATGAAGATGCTTTTTAGAAAATAAACACCTACCTAAATCTGTGAACTGAAAAAAAAAATCATGAAGTTACTCCATGTTGCGTTGTTTTAAAAATAACTGCTCCAAACTGCAGAGAAATGTATTACCTCTTTGCACTGGTATTCTGCTAAGAAAAGAAAGAGGAGGTCTTTATTTTAGCCCAGATTCAAGTGCACAGCTCTTGAAGAGAGGGGAATTTCAATTATGTTCAAAAGTCAAAGAAATTCAAAAACTCAGGGGAAAAATGCACAAAAATACCAATGCCAGCTGCAAAAAATCATGACTAGGAACTTGTAACATAGCTCTGCTAACTTGCAAGAGATTAATGACAGTGATATGTTAACATTAATAGCAGTGATAAAAATGTAGTATTTTATGCCTAACTCTTCAAAGTACACCTGGGTATTTTTTTCAGCCTGTGGCATAATGAGAAATAAGATCTCTTCTTTTCTTTGTCTTTTTCAAAATTGAAGGTGAGACTTTTTTCAGGCAATCAGAGGACTTTTAGGGCAAAACTTGAAAGAAACAACATGATCCTGGGTTACAATAACTTGCCCTCCTGAGTATTTATTACTTGGGTATTCTACCATAAAGGGACCAGATTTGGGTTTGAAATTCCCTTTGAAGGGAGGAAGCAAAGCAGGAAACTGACATTAATTTAGTCTCCCTTGAAATATAACAACTTTAAATTCCAGTCAGGATAGGAAACAATTTTATGCTGAGTAGGAGGGAGCAGAGGTTCCAACTCCTGGCCAAGGTAAGTGTGGGTCTGAGCAGGGTGAGGCCAGGGCCAGTGGTTGTGCTGGCTCTGTGCTTCTCATTTCCCCTTTGACTTTTGGGAAGGCACAGAAAAGTGCAAAAGCAAAATCCTGGGTTGCTTTGCACCTGCAGCCACTGTGGACTCAAACCAGGGGCTTCTCCAGCCAAGCCCTTCTGGGGGCCATGGACAACTCTCCCAGCTGGGTTGCCAGAATTGAGGTGTGGGAAGGGGGAGAGAGCATGGAGGGGAAATACTAACCACAGCTGTTATTCTGAGCTGTAGAAAAAGGTAACATGCCAAACAGGCACAGGAACCTCAGGGAGGGCCATTTCTGTTTCACCTTTCTATACTAGGCACAAGGAAGAATGAACCTGTATTTTGAAACATCAAAACTTCTGTTTGAAAAGAATGCTAATATCTAGAAGCTGCTTTTCCTAACAAAAGCTGTAGGCTTCCCATGTGTGACAACCAGTCATGAGGATGACAAAAAAAGATCACACCCTGCTCTGGCTAAGCCGCCTCAGGCTAAACCCTGGCAAGCAGATGGGCTTCACTGCAGAAGGTCAAGAAGAGCAAGCCTGGATGTCTTCTTGACCTGCCTCAGCCAGCAAAGGGGAAAAGAGGAGTTCAAGGGTGCCCTGAATAAGGCATTTCAAAAGGAATAGAGAGCTGAGGCTGGTTCCTGAGATGCTCCAGGTCCTCCACTTGTGCAAACATGTGGATCTCAATAGGTCACAGCTTCCACAGCAGCCAAACCCTGGGATTCAGCTCCCATGTGCCCCAGACCGGGCCCAGGCTGAGCTCCAGGAGAGCACTGAGGCATTCACAGGAGGCACATTGTACTCCTGTGTTGGAAAGCAACCTCTCTGATGCATTAACAGTAGGAATGAACCCTGGAGATCTCCAAAACCAGCCCACAGGCAGCAGGGACCTTCCAGGACACAGTTTGCTCTGTTGGCCCAGCTGGAGAGGCTGAGCGTGCTGGGGTGCAGGGGATCCACCAGCACAGCCCCTGCAGCCCTAGCCCTGGAGAAACACTGTGGCCATGTTCTTCCTGGCACTTTAAAGCTGCTGTAAAGTGACAAGAGTTTCCATGACAAGGAAATCATCCCTCAGCACGACTGGCCTCGCTCCGGGGCTCTGACCCCGCAGCCTTCTGTGCTGGGTTGTGGTCAAACCTACAACTCACAGACTGGTTAAGGCTGGAGGTTTAGCTGTGGGAAGAAGGATCACATTCCTCAACCTGCTGGCAATTATTCCTCTAATGCAGCCAAGGATCCCGTTTTCCCACTTTGCCACAAGGGCACATTGTTGGCTCAGGGACAGCTTGGTGTCACCCAGAGCCCCAAGGCCCTTTGCTGCCAAGCTGCTGTCAGCCAGTCACCCCCAGCACATACTGGTGCATGGGGTTATGCCTTCCCTGGTGCAAGACTTCAGCTAAACTGGGAGTCCCAGACTCTCTGTGATCAAATAGGAGAGAGACTAATTTACCAGACACTTGTCTCAAACTTCCTGGGCTCGCTTCTCATCTGGCAGAGAAGACAGGCTCAGATTGGTGGAGGTGACAAAGAGACAGACATTTCACATTGCTTTTAAGGAATCTCAGCTTAAGGGACTCAAAATCTTGCTTAGAAAGTTTTTTAAGAAAACAAAGTCTTAAACTGAGAGAAAATACCACAAAATCTCTTCCAAGGACAGGTCAGATGCTGAGTGCTGCACAAGCACCTTCCTTTTTAAAAGCATGATAATATTTAGTGACTTAGAGCCGTCCAGGAAGCCAGTCCACCTACTTTGGCTGTCAAATAGTGGCACTTGGCAAGTCAATCACACAACAAAGCTCCTGCTGACAGGCAGCAAGGCAGCACAAATAGAGAGCAACGTGGAGGCCATTTCCTGCAGCCCTGTTAATCTGCACTTGCAACAGCCTTTGATTTCAAAGATATCAGCCCCATGAGTGAAAGCAGCAAAACTGGGACTCAGAGTGGAAGGAAGATGTCAAAGGCTTTAAATCCCAAGACTAACATGATGGGATTTGTCACTTGTTGTGACTTTTATAGAAGAGTGCTCTAACTGATTTAAGTCATCATATTATTGGCTAGATGAGACTATTTCCAGACTCAGAGCCACTAGAAACTTCCTTAGTGACCAAAGTGTGGCTAGTCATACATTCCTGTGTTAAGCTATATGAACATTTGCCTTTGGATATGGAAGTATTGGATGAAACTTGCCTGTTTGACCAATGTTTTTCCCTTTCTGATCTTGAGTGAAGGCAGAGAAACATGAACATCTGTACAGGTTGAGAGTAGACGTGTAGCTTTAGTCTTCCAAGGGTTTGGAAACACTGATCATATACAAGTAGGGTGACCACAGCAGACTGATGGATGGTCCATGGAAGCACACGCCTGGGCAGTGCCTCCAGCCCAAAAGCCAGATGTGAATTCTGCCACTGCCCTTGCCATGTGGCTGCATCCCAACCTCAAACCTGCCAGCCTCTTCAGCCATCAGGGTTGAGGAGGACCAGAAGTAATCAGTTTCTTGGAAATTGGATAGTGTGACAGAGGCATTGTACTTCCCTTAGAGAAGAGATCCTCTGAGGTCCTGACAGCAGTAGGTGTTCTCCAACTGAGCTTTACCCAGCACATGAAGGACCAAACCAATCTTACTGCTGCCCCATTCCAACCACCAGCCCTACCATGTCAGCAGGCTGCCTCTTCTGGGAGCTGCTCTTCTGTCCTTCTCTACTTCACTCAATCAGTCACTTTCTTCACAAGCACCACAAGGGTGAGGTCAGATTGTTCTGAACGGTGTTAGAAGGCAGGAGACTGGCTAAAAACACACCTTCTCCCAGGTGTGTTTCCAGTGTCAGCAGGGTTACACAGTACAGTAGAAAATGTCTCAGTCAGGGCTGCTGGGACTAGGTAATATTTAATCAGAAATATTAAATTTGTTTTAGGTGGAACCAGGGAGGGATCACCTGCTGCCTTGGTTTCCTTATTTGCACATACCTATATTAAAACAAAATCAGAATCTGAACCAGACAAACTAATGGCTCAAATCCTAACTCTGCTCCGTTCTGCAGAGACACTGAGTGATTAATATCTCCTTGATCAGCTTAATATACTCACCAAACATATTAAGGTCAATGCAAAGCCAAAATATTCAGCTAAAACTAAGCGGGTGGTGGCCAAGGACGGTGCTGCACATCCAAACTGCCTTGTGGACACCCAGTGCACAGCAGCCAGGGATGCATTAAAGCCCCCTGGGAAGGCACCAGCCCTGATGGGGCTTGTGGAGAGACCCCTTGGGCACACGGCCCCTGGGAGCAGAGCACAGGCTGAGAACAGCAGGGCACAGGGAGGGTGGGACAGCAGCAGCAGCCCAGGCTGCCCAGAGCAGGGCACAGGGAGGCTGACAGCAGCAGAGTGCCCAGGCTGCCCAGAGCAGGGACAGGGAGGGTGGGAGCAGCAGCCCAGGCTGCCCAGAGCAGGCACAGGGAGGCTGACAGCAGCAGCATTCCGGGCTGCCCAGAGCAGGCACAGGGAGGGTGGGATGAGTGTCCAGGTCTGGCTGACGCTCTCTGCCTCTCCCGTTGCCCGGCACAGATGTCGGTGATGGTTGGCCTGCGCCTCCTGCACACCTCCCTGGAAAGCATTGCCAATCCTGAAGACCCCGAATGTGAAAGCGAAGGGTGGGTCCTGGAGAACAGCCTGAAGGACACTTTCAAATCCGCGCTGGAGAACTTGAAAAAGCTGGGTAAGTTCAACCAGGTGGAAGCAGGAGCCGAAGGGGCCGAAGGAGAGGAAGGCGGGAAGACGCCAGCCATCACAACAGTCAGCTGAGCTGCTCACTGAGGTGGACTTTTTCTCAGAGAAAAATAACACAAACTGAGAATTGTGAATATATCTACATTTTAAAAGCTATGTATCAACCACCAGAATACACATTTCTACGCACGTGCGCTTTTGTACATGGGAGCATACAACATAGTGCACCTTGGGATAAAACACTTATCCACAATGTGAGTACACCATATCCATATCCTTTTGGGAATATGACCCCAACTAGGACTTGTAATATTCACATGTTCCTTTATCAGAGACAGTTAGTTTAAGAAAAAAAAAAAAATTAAAAAAAAAGATTGCTGGCATCACACGGCAATCCATTCCATCTTGTTTTGAAATTAAAAGTGGAATTTGAAAAGTTAATATTTTTTGCTCAAGTTATTTCATAAGCATACTTTCTGTACTTCAGCTTTTAAGGACAAACAGATTGGGTTTCTGCAGAGTAACATGATAGAATTCAAAGAAAGAAGGATTTCCAGAATTGTATATAACTTAGCATACAGGTATTTTGACAAACCTCTCATATGTGATTTTTGTTAATGTGCTAAGCAATGGTATTTTCTGCTGTATTTTTAAGACGTACATAGAACAAGATGCAAACTTATGCTAAGAATTTATGTACTAAGCAAAAATTGTAATTTAATGAAGCAGCCAAGCATCATAAAAACAACACTCAGGTAAGAATTGAGGGGGATTATTTCTCGGGGTTTTTTGCAGGCTGTATATCTTGAATGTATGTGTCGTAGACTTATGCTTCACCTTGTATTTAAATTCTTTGCAGAAGCTTAGAAGATTCATCTTTTAGTGGGTGGAATCCAGGCTATGAGCATGTGCCAGTTATGGTTACTCTGGACATTTTACAGAGTATGTAATCTCATAACTCGCTCCAGAATATTCAAGCCCAACTATTTTTAAGGCAAGAAAAAGACAAACCCAAATCAAGACCCAAATCCAGGCCAGTTAGAACTCACACTTTAAATGTTTTCCAGGGGCCTAGAAAGTGGATACCATTCATCCACAAGAACATCAAGCCTCACCCTTTCAGGCCAGGGAAAACTGAGTTTAAATCAATCCCCAATGTGCAAATTTTACTTTATCAGTGATGGAGTACTCCTCATTATGTCTTTTAAATCAAAGGGAAGGCACATTTTGCATATGCTGCATCTCTCCAAACATAATGTCATAGCTGGAGGATCCTGTTCTCAAGTTGGAATAAAACATGGAAAGAGTTTGCTGTGGCGTGCAGCCTCTAATAAGGGAACAGAGCATCATCTTGAGTTTATTTTGCCAGATAATTTCAGCTAAAGGGAAGGAAACCCTAGAGAACAAGCCCCAGCCCCATGCAGCAAGGATTGCAGACACCTCAGTCCCCTCCCTACAAGCCAGGCACCACACTTACTTCTACCCTGGCTGTGTAAACCCTCTGCTTCTCAGGGTGTACCAGGGAGAGGGTTCTCCCTGGGTCCCTTCTCCCTGGCTGGTGGCCAGCCCCCAAAGGGAGCAGTGTTTGCAGCTGTGTCACCATGCACAGCCCCCTGGCTTTCATTCTTAATCACTTGTGCACTTCCCCAGCAGCACTCAGCTCCTCCAGCTCCTGCCCCAATTCCCTCTAGGATGGACAGATCAGTTCAAGGCAGGACAAGCAGGGATGCGTCCGTGCATCACGCCGTCGTTTCCATCTCAGTGCCCAGGCTGTTTCAGGCCACCTGCACGCAAGGCTTGATTTTGACAGGTGTCTGTGGTGTCCTTTCACCTTCTCAAAGCTGGTCAAAGCTTTCAACTTTAGTTATGGTCACGAATTTAGTCACAATAATGAATTAAAAAGTCACTCTTCTGTGCATAAGGCTAGGACAAGGGCACTGACAAAAGGCCAACTTGCTACTCACCACAGCCTATCGTCTCTTGCTCTGCTGAGGGACACAACTGTACCAGCCAGAGCAGCTCCTCCCTGCTCAGCAGGATGCCACTGGGGCCAGCTGCCCCTCTCAGCTGGCCATTAGAGAAGAACAGGATTGTGCATGGCACACAATGTGGCCACATGTACCAGAGAAGAGCTTTTCAGAGGAGTCACATGTGGATAGGAGCTGCGATACAAGGATTAATTACAGTCTCTCCTTGGGAGGCTTCAGCGAGCTGTGATCTATACCAGTTATTTGACTAGACTGACTTTTCAAAGAGATCTAGATTTATTGCTGCCCTAGAAATCTGGCTTAGACCACTAATTTAGACAGGACTCTCCAATTATTCGTGGTCTCTGTTTTTTATCAGATTATTGCTAAAGCAACATAAGAAATTTTCAAGCCATTCTTTCAATGCCACACTGGAGAAGCCAGTTCCCAGAGCAATGGTATCAGGCAGGTAAAGAGACCATCTGAGACAGGTTTATGAAGAACAGTACTGGAACCAGGGAACAAAGAGTGTATGGGCTAATGCTGTCTAAAATAAAGCCTCCTGGTTGATGAAGATCTTTGTGACATCTTATGATTACCACAAGATTGTAATATGACTGCTTTGTACAATATTACATGTAATATATCACTTGTCCAATCTTACACATACTTTCTTGTGATACTGCAAATGCTGTTCTAGATAAAGATATTTCTGCTGACTGCAAATGTAATTTAGGTATTAAAATGTTATTGCAAGTAAAGATCTCTTTAAAGAAAATGTTTAAATATATACAATTTAATACAGATTTCTTTAATTTGCATTACTGCTGACTTTTTCTTTCTGATTTCATTTTTTGGATCTGGTTTACATGTTCCTATATGTGGGAAGGTTTTCCCCTCCTCTATATAATGCTCTGAGAGAAAGCAAACCTTCCTCTTTTCACAGCTAAGCTCAGGATGTGCAAGCAGACCCCTAAATCACCTGCTTCTTACTAGAAACAAAATATGCTGTGCTATTTTAATAGCATTCTCTAATAGTACATAGGAATTAAAACATCTTCACAGCCATGAATGTGATGTTCTGGTCATGCTGAACCAGTGAAACCACTGGCATCCCCAGGGTCTTTGACAATCAGCTGGGTTTATAACCCCTTTTTCTCCCCCTGTTTAAATCTAACTTGCAATGGACATTCAAAAGAACATTGTTCTTATTTTAAATTTAAGTCTAAAGCTCACAAAGTCAAATCTCCCCGCAGCAATCCGACGACTTCCAGAGCCGTGCCCTGATTTTCAAACTAATAAACTTCAGAAGGATGTGAACTTAATTCATGCAAACCAGGCCACTTCTTTTTAGGTACCTCCATATGGATTAGCAGCTTAAATCCAAGTACCCAGACCTCAGAGTCAGCCCAAGGCCTTGAAGTGTCAACTCTGAAGAAATATCACATTTAAGAGAATGACAAGAAGTACATTATTTTACCAATGACAATTATTTGAAGGGACATAGAACATTGACTAAAGTGCTTTAAAGGAGGAAATATAAACAGCTTCCTTAAAGCTATTAGTTCCTAAGTAGCCTTAATACAATTGATAAGATTAGCCTCCATGCATTACATGGGCTTGGGCATTTGGTAATACCACACAAACACAAGTGTGCAGCTTAGCAAAGAGCATGGGAATGCTATATTGGGCTCACAGGCACCATGGGCCTCCTAGCTGATGGGCTGGGAAGATTTTCAAGGCTGATATAAAGAAAAAAGGGTCCCAGCAAAACAGTTCCTGATTTACACCCAAAGTGCTTCTTTTGTGAAAGAAGCCAATGCTGTTCTTAGCATAATCAATGGAAAAAGGGGACGGATCACAAATGCTTATTTAAAAAAAAAAAAAAAAAAAAGAAAGAGCATTATTAGAGATTAGTTAATTAAGAGATAAGGCCAGAAAAATAGAATGGAACCATGTGATAACAGCCCCCTGTGGGGAAGGCACAGGCTTAGGCAAATTTATTTCTGGCAACCATAATGCAGCTATCTCAAATCTGAAGTCATGCCTATGTGGACCATTTTCTGATTTATATCAGACCTATAGTGTTCAATGACTGACTGAAACACCCAAGTAGTAAAACACCACTCTCAAAGCACCTGCATTTGCTGCTCCCATGTAATTTCACAGGTATTTCTGAATGTGAATCCAAAGCACAGTTGTGAGGTGGGACAGCTGGAGGAAACCCTTGCCTGGAGCTCAGCTTTGTAGACTCTCCACCACAGTCTCTGCAGCACCCTGCCCTGGGGGACACCCCTTTTTGCAGTTCCTCCCTAACATTCAGGAGGGCTCCACAGGGGAAGGCTGAGCAGGATTCCCACCTCCCATCCCACCAGCTCCCCATAAAGCACACGCAAAAACCTACTCCTGCCTGATTCTTTCTACTAAGAGCTGAGTCCATAAACCACGAGGAATTACATTTCCAGTTTGTTCTCAAAGCTCTCCAGAGCAAAGGGTGGTGCAGGAATCAGAGGAAGCAGTCAAATAGAGAAACCAGGACCAGAGGGCAGGTCTGCAGCCTGCCACCAGACTGATGCACACCCCCTGCACCAGGCAACCAAGCACCACATCCTCAGGAAAAACAGGGTCAGGCATTGCAAAGCAGAAGTGAGGAGACTTGGGCATGTGGAGCTTGGAAAGGCACAACTGCTATCAAACCATCAGCTGGAGGGTGATGAAAGAAGGAGAGCAAAGCACTAAATCTCAGGCACACTGACTCCCTTGGTAATAGAGTGAAAATATTTAGTTCTTGAAAAAAAACCCCACAGAAGTCACTTTGAAGTCTGTGATGATGCAGAATTTAACAGCAGCACCAAAGACATGCTGTCCTTCCCAGCTGGAGACACACAGAGCCCTCACTCCAGCCAGGCAGCAATATCAGGCTACCCAGGCTGGAAGGAGACTCTGGCTGTATTCATCAGTTCCAGGGCACACACAGTCCCCAAACACAAAGTTACAAATCACCTCCTGCCTTCCCAGCCACCCAAATAACCTGTCCAGAGGTGGCACAGCTCTGCCTTAGACAGATGGGTGTGAGTTTTCACATTTACACACATTTTCTCCAGCACA